CACCCCCATTGTACTGGAATCTCTTACGTATTGTATCTGAACCCAATGTAGCTTCCTGAGACTTGAAATATAGGAAGACTCAAACTACATCACTTCTTGAAATATAGATAATTCAGTACTGATTTAAGTAACAGCCAAACAGTAAGCACCTTCTGGAACATAATCTCATTTTCACAGTAAGTCAAGGTTCTTTTCAACTATTGATGTTTTTCGTTTTTTTATCTTTGTGTGTGTATGTGTGTGTGTTTTGTGGGACCTGCTTAAAAATGATTGCTAGTTTCTTTTTTCTGAGATTCTGGAGTTCTCTTAAGTGCATGACTGGAAAATAAAGGAAAAACATGTGAGCATGCAGGCTTAATGATGCTATTCCATTTTACTTTTGTTGGAAGAAGGGGATGTTGTAGTTACATCAGCACATCATCTTTTCATGAATAGTGCAAGTGAGCAGCTTGCTAGAGGTGACCTGTGAGTGTCTGTCCCTGTGATGGATGCCTTCTTAGGAGCACATAGCACTGGTCTATGGAAGGAATTTGACTCTGTGAGCTTGCTATTCACATGGGTTTAGTTTGCTGACCCTGCCTCAGTGAAACTCAAAGACAGTCCCTGTGATGCTGTTCTTGTGCTCTGTGAGAGCATTGCTCTGTGCACAGACTGGTTTTCGTGGGATATACCATCAGCCCTGCCAACCCCTCTTGAAGTAGCTCTTCCACAAGAAAATGCAAACTTTTTATGAGTTTTTTTCTATATTTTAATGTATTTCAATTCAACATATAGTCTTTACTTAAAGAATAACTTGTTTTTTAAAAACAAAAAAAGAGAAAGAAAATCTTTAGAATATGCATTTTTAAATCAGAGTGTTGTTTCTAGGAATTATTATTGGGAACTGATATTCAGTGTAAATATATTAACTGGTTAGCACCTATCAGATTCTGAGTTCAAGTGACAGTTCTTTACTAAGACATTATATGCTGAGGGCTTCATGCCAGGTCTAAGGCCACTGTCACTGTTGGTCATGTCATATACTGAGGACAGACATACTGACACAGGCGATGAGATACAATTTAGTAGAGAAAATAGAAGAAAGCACTTTCTACTTTCTTATTGTCAATGTATTTCCAGTTTTCAAACTTGTTCTATTCCACCTTCTGGAGGGTTGGTATTTGAAAACTAATCACTTTTCATTGTTCTTTTATGTAAACACTAAAATCAGATAAGAAGCCTTTTTCTTAGGGATTGAGGACTTTAAAATTACTTGGCAGGGCAATGTCTTTACAAAGTCAGATTAGACTCCTCAAGAAGTTAAAGGAGCCCCAATGTTTATGGGGTGAAGAGTTGTATTGTGTTACTGTTTTAAGTGTTCTAAGAATTACATCTCTTAGCAAAAACCAAAGTGGAACTTCTTGAACCAGCACTACTACTACTTAGCTTTTAAATAATGAGGACAGAAGTCACACCATCATATTGCCAATTATGGGCTCTATGTGTAAAAGGAAGTGAAAAAATTATGAATGGTTTCTCATGGAAAGGAAAAACTTGGGTAAAGATTTATTATATGTGGTGAATTATTTTCGGTAATTTTGGCTGTGAAATTTTAAGGTAAACATTCCACCAATCTAAATGAAAAGGAGGTAGCGTGACGCTCTGAAAAGAACATGAATTTTAAGTTCTCAACACTCAGATGGAAGTTCTACTTTTACGTTTAGTTAGATGTATTCTGCCACACCCAGAACATCTTACCCCTGGGTTCCTGCAAACACTCTTGCTCATCTCCTTCCTTCTTAAGTGGGAGCAGTCCTTCCAGAATCAAGTCTGATGCCACCTCGGTGATTTAAGCACTTCATTGTCTCCCCCTGCATTTGGGATAAAGCCCACAGTCCTTGATGTGACCCATAAGGACTTTAACGATCTGCCTCCTGCTCTCCTCTTCTTCCTCCATCTGGAATTACCTGCCCAGTCCCCTTAGTTTCTGTCAGACGGACTCCTACTGGTCCGTTAAGTCCCAGCTCAGGTGACCCACGCACAGTGAGCGCTCCCATTTATCACAGCGTTTGCTGACACTGCGCAGCAGGACGCAGGGACCGTGTTGGCTTGTTTCCCACTGAGCAGACCCTTGACTTGAGTACATAGATACTCAAAGAGGATTTCTTGAATGAGTGAATGAATGAATGGTCATGTACTATGAAAGCAAATCATCTGATAAAATGTTACATAAATGTAGTTGTTATCACCTCTATCTTCTTTCCAGAAATCACCTGCTAAGAAGCTGACTAATGCGTTAAGCAAGTCCCTGAGCTGTGCTTCCAGCCGTGAACCTTTGCACCCCATGTTTCCCGACCAGCCTGAGAAGCCACTCAACTTGGCCCACATCGTGTGAGTATCTCTGCCCTCCACATTAAGAGACATCTTTCTTCATTGACACACGTCTGGATCCATACAAAAGCAAGTTCATATAAGTTGTCAGGGACCAAGTTTTAAAATTTAATTTAAAAAAAAAAAAAGACTGAATGAACTCTGGCTGAGTGGCTCGGTTAGAATTCACCAATGCCAAGTTCATGCTTCCAGCAGTTCAGAACAGGACCCCTAAGCAGCAGCACTGTTGTGGGCCTGAGACCCTTATGAAAGTAGTAACTCTTTTGCCTGATGGACCAAACAAGTACCATCAAATTATTTGTGCTGTGGCATGTCCGTGAAGCTGGGATAAATGCTACAGAGCTTTGTTTGGTTTGGTCCCAAGTGGCTTTGAAGGTTCACTGACCTCAGCAATACACAGTCTGGAGGCTCCTGTTGCTAAGCACCCAAAAACTAATGTAAATGGATTCTGTAGAATGTGGTTAACTTATTTTTGGAAATTTTGCTACTAAAATAAGTCTTAAAATAATCAAGGTGTAAATAAATGTGGAGAGTGTTCCAAAGTCCCAACCACTTTAAAAAATGACCTCATACAAGCTGTTCTTATTAAGGTCTGAACTGTCCTTCCCATGGCCAGAGACAATCACTAAATTGTTAATGAATGAACAAAACAAGGTGACGGCAAGTCTGTGCTCTCTGTGCTCTGCCACAGAGTCACTTTCTACCAGACCCCCCAGGACTTTCACCCCCAGAGCGCAGCGTTCAATCAGAACCGCTGGCTGTGAGGGACAGAGAGAGTTTGGGACGTGAATGGCCTGACTCTTAAGAGCTTTGCAGCTGAACGGAATTAGGATGCTGCCTCCCACTTCAAGGAAGAATTAGGAGGTGAGGCAGTGTGAGATAAAGGTCAGTTTCACAGTCATCACACCGCGGTGTCACCTAGCACAGGGACTTGTACTCAGTTGGCTCAGGATTGTGTGGGTGTGGGTGTGGGTGTGCGGGGCTGAGATTTAATTGGCTGAGTAAAATTTTCTTAACTTTAATTTATAGTGGCAATATGATCTGATGTGTTATTCACTGAACTAAATGAGGGCAATATCTATACAATTTGAGTTCCATGGAAAGTTTCAGGATTCCCTTAAAATTCTACACAAAATATGCCCTTTTTTCTGAGAAATGTTCTATATATTGAATCAGATTCTCAAAATAGACCTTGAACCAAAATACTGATCTATCCTCACTGTTAATATTTTTCCAGGGTGAATGTCTTAATTTGCAAATTGTGAAAAATATTTAATTGTTGAAATAACATATAAGAAATTCTGTGTGTAGACTGTTCGGTCTATATTAGAACAGAATATGTTTTCTCCTTTTCACTTTAGACATTTTTCTCCCTATTTGTTATTCCAATGTTAGTGGCCTGAATAGACATGTCTTCTTTTTATTTATTTATTTATTTTTTTGAATGGGGATACCTAAGACTTCTAATTTTAAAACACGCTGTTCATTTAGCTATTCTAAATTATCATAAGCACACAATGGCCACTTAAGTGGGTGACATTTTGGTATTTTGACATTTGTGCTTAGCTATTGTATTGCTGGCAAATGTTACCATGATTAACAGTCTCTATTCTATTCAATTCTTTGCTGCCCAAAGTGATACTTGGTAAGTAGTTTAATAGTCCCCAGTGTACTTATAAAGACTTGTAACCATAATTATAAGTGGTTATGAGACACAAAACAAGTGAGTAACCAGAGATTAATTTAAAACTAATTCTGCCTTGAGCTGAACACTTTTTTTTTCCTACTTACAAAAAGAATGCCAGTTTTATAAAAGTGTCCTCTACGAAGATTTTTGTCCAGGAAGAAAATCTTGCACTAGACCCCCGTGGCTTTATCTTGTGGAGCTATTTTTTTTTTTATAAGAGTTAATATGTTTAAAATTCTCAGTGGGACCTATTTTTAGATGAGGTAACTTGCCATTTGATTATGGAGGAAATGGGAACTTTAGTCCCTTTGAAAGCCACCCTTTGACCCCAAGGTTAGCCATCCTGTGTCCCAAATTCAACATTTTTATGATTAACCTTAAACATGAAGCCATTTACTAATAAACTACAGTTTTCAGCTTTGCAATGACCATGTTTAATAAAGTAAATTTACCAAGCTAGTTAAAAAGCACACCAAATCTACTTGTTTTTTCTTTGCCTAGAGATGGGAAAGTTTAAAAAAAAAAGAAAAGAAAACCAGAAGTGTTGGTCTAGTTGATTTTTTCCCAATTTCTGCAAAGCTGCAATGTAAGATATTTCATTCTGTTTACTTTTTTAAAATCTAATGTTCCTGATTTTTGAAAATTCACAAAGGACATTTGTGTAAAATTAGCATCCTTCTTACAAAGTGAAAGTGTTCTATTCAAGGCAGAATTAGTTTTAAACTAGCCTCAGATATCAAAGATACATCCTAGATAAGCAAAGCAAAACACTAAGGTTGTTTTCAGAACTTTGGCTGTCATGTTAGAGAAGATCAAATAGTGAACCTGCTGTTTTGACTTCATCCAACAAACAATATGTCTTAACAAAATCTCAGAACACAGTTTAGCACCAGGTACTGGAAACCACAGTTTTAATGAATTTTTGCATATAGTGCTGACATTTTAAAACCTGCATAGCATCATATTCATTCCCATTAAATAAACTGAAATAAACAAGTCTACCTTTTTCCTAAAATCTCTTTATTATAGAATACAAACTAAATCTGATTCCCTAAGATAAAAATTAAACCATTACAAACTTGGCTCTTGGTCAAGCTAACACAAGTAGACACTGTAGGCTATAATTAATTTTTTATCTTCAAATAATTCTATACTGTCAAACTCAAATATAGAATTACAATGAAATCAAAAGTTCTTCTGACGCAAAATGATACCATATCTTTTGAACTGTCAATCCCATCTCATTTTACCATGGATTATCTTACAATGAACCTAAAATCAGACTACAAACTGCTTGGAGATGAGATAGGGATCATAGCTTTGTCATTTTACCTGAACTAAGTCATTAGTGATGAGGAAAGAATGACAGGAAGAAATGGAAATTAAGACAGGGGATGACAGACCGAATGCAGTTGTTTGGGGCCATGCACAATTTTGAGGAATGTTGGACCTGTGTTTTTTTCTCCCATCATATGAAAAAAACTGAAGTTTGTGGGATTCCTTGCACCATTGTGCCCTATCAAATGGATCAACAGAAAGTCAGTAAATACTTCTGGTGCTTAATTGCATCTTCACTTACAACAAAGAGCAAATAAAGCATGAGATGGTTTTGTAGCTGGGTCCTGCCAGACTGGGCATGTTGGGAGAGGGCCATGTTCATGGGAAACACAGGAGGAAGTTTCCAAAGCTTCGGAAATCCTCCTCTTTGCAAGAAGGTGGAGATTCCGATCATTATCAAGTTTTCAGAGTGTCTCCCTTTAGAAGGCAGTAAATGTACGGCTGCCTCAGAACCTTCCCTTCATTCGAGATTATGACTCAATGAAAAGCCAAGGCTCAAATCTCATTCCTGTGGTATCCAGAGATCTTCCTCATAATTTTTACTTGAGAGTCTATATTTACAAATAAATGTAACTTTGAAACACTTAAAGAATTTAATTGGAAACTGGAAAATGTGTTGATCCTGGGTTAAGAGAGAACTCTGGTCTTCCCACCCTCTCTCCTCGAGGGATGGTAGATAGTGTTTGACCTGTGACTTTTACTTGTTTTAACTTTCCATCCACACTGTACTTTGTTTTAGGCCACCCAGACCTGTAACCAGCATGAATGACACCCTGTTCTCCCACTCTGTCCCCTCTTCAGGAAGTCCTTTCATTACCAGGAGGTAAGTTCCAATCCTCGTACATAATGAGCCCTCTCTTTGGTAATGAGCCTTGATTCTGTGGAAAGAACAATATTCTAGTGTAAGCCAAGAGTGGAAGATTATTGTTAGAAGTTAGTTATGTAAATAGGTGTCACACAGTTTTCAGTTTCATTCATTTCAGTCCATTTAAAGAGGAATGGGATGGCTTTTGGGGCCCTCTTCTGGAAACTTGCATTTACAGTGCACCCACAGCAAGAATGTGGAATAAGTTTAAATTTCATTACTGACATGCATGCATGCTTTTTCATTGAGAAGTCACTTTCATAGCACTTAGAAAGGTCCATCTGAGCCAGGAAATTGGAATTTCAAGATGCAATGGGAAATTATTATATACAGTCTGAAACATCTCCTAATTTAAAGGTCCAGGTATAAAAGAACCCTCTTCTTGGGGAACTCTGGAGTTCCTGACACTAGAGGTTGACAACCAAACTTGGAAATGTAGTGTCCACACAAACAATTTTTACTGCAATATGGTCCAGCCATGTGACCATATTTCATAGATAATAACAAGGACTTAAACAAAGGTGGATATGTCTCATCTTTTTTAATAAGTACCACTCCCGTTATGAGCAAAGACCAGGTGAATCCAGTACTTCTTTTAGGGCTAGCATTACAAACAAGCAGGGGGCATGAGGTGCTCTAAGTCATTTCATCAAATATCACAAATAAAGCACCAAAGAATTATTTTATAAACAACAGAGAAGGCTCACAGGAAAGCAGAAACAAAGGTAAGGATAACTGGAGTAACTGAACATAAGATTTTCAAATGCCTTTTAGTAGGGGGAAAAATTGAGCAGTCTCGTGTTTTACAAAACGAACCTAATCAGTCTTTTCCCTGAAGAGGTTCCTGAGATACCAGTTTCACTGTAATATCCTGGTACGTACTAGTAAGGATTTGAAGACAGTGAGACTCAGAACACTACTTTTTTTCCCCACATTCCTGTACTTGCCCATCAGCAGGAACCTAAGGTGAAGATATTCCCCATAATTGGAATTAGCAGAATAAACGGAATGTGGCAGTTCATGGTATTTCCTTCCTGTAAATTAAGCAAGTCTTTTTATTCAACAAGTGGAAATGAGAGCATAATTGAACTATACAGAACCTCCACAGTGAAATCATAGGGTTTAGTGTGTTCCTCTTAGTACTCCTTTTCAGAACCCCAGCAAACTCAACCATCTTTTCTGAAACAAAATCATAAACTGTAAAGTCTATCCTGTGCGTCTACCTAGAGAAGATCGTGCATGATTTTAAGAAAGATGTTGTGCATTTATTAGGAAGCTCTGCATTCTGCAAATGTGAAGCAGAGATAGACTCCATCCTTACTGAAGGTCATTTTATATCATTTCAGCTCGGACGGTGCTTATGGTGGATGCGTCTAGATGGATAACATGGCTTCCTCTACTCTAAAATATTCCTATAACATATTGAGCTGTTCTGGTTCCCCCAGGGTGCATGGTACCTATTAACCCAAAATATGATAATTTCCCTTTTCTCCCATTTTCAGTCTTTTTGGAATGTCCCCTGTGAACCACAGACACGTTGTTTAAAGTTTGCAGTTCTTCCTATCACCACAAGATTGGCCTCTGTGTCTGTTTTAAGGGTGCTGTTCAATAAAGCTGTGTACACTGAACTTCTTTCCTCTCTGAGTGGGCCTTGCTCTGTCCATGGAGGTTTTAATGAAGTCTCATTGTTTGACTCCCTCAGGTTACCTGAGGGGATAAGTGCATCCAGCCCTGTGGCTGAGGAGCATTCGCTTATAAAGCTGTGTGTAAATCAGCTTGCCCACTGCGCACGGTCAGTATCCCAGCCCTGAGTCACTAATCGTAGTGGTAGTTCCATAGCTAGACTGCTAGTCCGACTCCATCACTAAAATCCTCTTGTCATATGTCTTGGTGGAGATAGAGGTCTTCTGGGGCTTCAAAAGATTCCATTGAGAATTTCTAACTTGAGCTGGATTTCTCAGCTATTTCCTCTCTTTTCCACTTATTTTATTGACCTCATGGCCTCATACCAGTATATGTAAAATGCATATCTGTGAAGAGTACCAAGCTGGATTTTCTTCTTTGGATGACTCTCTGCTTTTGTACAAGACCCAGGATGGTGATTTCTTAAACTCTTGAATGAAAAAGTCTCTTGGAATGATCGTTAGCACTAACTGGGTAAGGCCAGGACCACATCACATGGCTGGGCCATATTGCAGTAAAAGATTTGAGGACTTAAACCGTTCTGTCCTACTGGGCCTGGCCGTTTTTTCCCTAAGGTAGAACGGTCTGATTCCTATTGAAGTAGCAATTTCAAAACCAACTTCATACTATTAGTGCTTACTTTCTATCACTTGATAATGCTAGCGGTGACCCACTGTTTACTTCTCAAGCATATCCATACACTAAAATTGATGGAAGTCCATAACGCCAAATGTGGGCATAAGTTAAAGGTCCTATCCTTCCTGTCATTGGAACTGAACCAAATAAATGTAACCTAGAGCCCTGCCCTCACTCCTTCTCCTCCCCAATTTCCCCTTTTAAACTCAGATAAAACCTAAACAAGCCAAGAACGTGCTGACCTGTGTCAAGCAAGTAGGGAAGTTTGCCACGCAGATATTTTATTTAGCCTGAGTTTGCAGTCTTTGGTGACAGATCTTAGAAAGATAAAGCAGACTGAGGATGAATTGAAATCTCCACTTCAAAACTCTCACCATAAACTCCTGGCGTTACTCAACCTAGAGTCCTTTACAGGCACCTACTTTGATCTTCAAAGGGCGCTAGGGTACATCTTTGAAGTCTTCTGACATCCTCGCGATCTGACTCGCAGGGATTTACGAGCGTGTGGAACCCTGGTTTCCACCACCATCTGCTGCGGCCTCTTTCCTTACACTCATTCCCAGTTATATACTGGACTCACTTTCCCTTACTTAAAAGAAAAGAGGGAATTCTCCAAGGCACTCTCCCTTAGCCCTTTGAAGTGTGTGTGTGTGTGTGTGTGTGTGTGTGTGTGTGTGTGTGATCAGTGCTGGTTAGCAATTAGGTAGAATATGGGTCAAATAACATAATTCATGGACTAATTCACCTCCTTCATTTTCTTGATCATCACTTTACCCCTAAACCTAGATTGTTTTCTTATAAATGCATTAATTTAGAGGAAAAAAATGGCTGGATCAATGGAAATCTATTATCACCACTAGGAAAAAAGAGCTCCAAGGGCTACATAGTGTGGCGCAGCAACATTCTGTAAGCTTATGAAATGTATCCCATCGCTGTTACAGTTATTATTGCAAGCCCTGGCACAAAGCCAGGCCCCAAAGGCCCTTTCTGCCCTTCACCGCCCGCAGCGTTGTGCCTCTGAGTGCCTGCCGTCTTTGTTGCTATGATGCCCCGTTTGTGAAAATCTTAATTATCTTGCCAAAATCCTTGCCTAGGTTATGGGAGAAAGCTAACCAGTCTTTTTCTGTAAAATAAATGCCTTTAATTGTGGCTGTCTTCTTCATTAGCCACATTAGGACACTCTGAAGGTTTAAAAAGATAGATTCTTTTACCCCCATTACTAGAAATGCCTTGTAAAGTTTTCGCAGATACTTCTGGAGATGCAGTCTCTATAATAGAAACCACTTAGAAGATCGTGTTGGCTATGATATACAGCATCTAGCCAGATCTTACCGCTCTTCCAAATATTAGAAAATTGCTTCAGTCATAGAGTGTGTTGAATACAATCTAATGTGCTGTTTTCTGGTTTGTCACAGTAACATGTGGTTAATTACCTAATATTGTGTTAGGCTCAGTAGTGTGTAGGGAGGAGGCACACCACCCACCCCAGGTGCTTCCCAAATCCTGGTTCTGCTCAGTAGAGCAGCCTTTGTGAGTTATTTTGTTGGTTGACTAGTTTGGTCAGTTGATTGATTGGTTTGGGTTTTCAGCCTCAGAAAGGCTAATTATTCTGTCTTTCAGTTTTTTCAAACATGTTGTTTAATCAAAGATTCTTTACCTAACAACCCGGGTTATTAATCTGACTGAAAATGTTCAAACTACATTTCAAGCATTTGTGCTTTGGTAATCAAAAGTGAATAAAAATAAAACTGAGGTGCTGAATTCAGCCTTTGATCTGAAAATCGAAGTTTTCTTCATGGTTCATTTTTTGCTAAGATTACAGCCCATCCTTTTCAGTAAAAAAAAAAAAATAGATAAATTTATAAATCAACATCATAAGACAGATGAATTTATAAATCAGCTATCGTGAGGATTTGTTTACTCTTTACACACTTTCTGGGCATGTTGTCTGAAATTTTATGAAATCTGAAATAATCACTCTCTACTGATATTTCTTCTTTTCATGTAGCCCCAGAGTGCCACTAATATGCTAGATTTTTTTCAAACTTGAAATAAGCTAGTCTTCACACTCCACTCTATTCCCTATACTAAAATGTTCGTGCATAATTAAAACTGCCATCACCTTTCTCCTTCACTTGAATGACTTTTATTCTCCGATTAGAGTTGCTTTAGTTGTTGTCTGAGTGTGCCCTGTACTCAGCAAACTTTTCTAGAGACTCTCTTGGTAAAAATACAGTTGATATGGTTTGATGCTATCTGGGGGGAAACACAGTAAATGTAGCGAATCCAATATAAGCTAAGGATTCTTAGCATTTCTTCCATGGTACCTGCTTACGATGGCTTGACTTTCATGCCAGTTTGAATTGATGACAGTTAATTACCCCACTGAGACACAACTATTTTTTATGCTTGTTTGCTGATTTGCATGTGGCAGATATTTTATGTTTCAGATCAACGATATTGACAGCTAGAATAGCAAAGGGAAACACAGTTTTTCAGGAAATCATCTCCTGACAAAACTGACTTATGGTCTCTTTTCTATTATACCTAGACTATGTTAATTACAGTGAGAAGCAAAATTTTATTCACACTGATAGTTACTCAAGGAGGTAGCCAACTTTCCAAGTTATTCTTCACAAGTCCAAAAACCACACAAGTTTATCAGTTATTTAAAATCAATAAAAATGAGAATACTTTTTAATTTGCCATGGTTCAGTATCACTTTCCTGTTAACCATTGTTATAATGATTATTGCACATAACATAATTTATTTCTACAACCCTGTTGCTCTATGAGACTGCAGCCAGGACTTTTATTTAAATCCTTTTATTTTCAGACTCAATAAAAGAAAAAAAAATTTTTTTGACCAGGGCTAAAATAGTAATTCAACATAAGCAGAAGTGGTTTTTAAAAATATATTTCAGGTTTAAACAAAAACCCAGGGAACTTTTGTGTGTAGTTTTGTTATCTAGAATACCCCAAAAATGTTTGCACTTAAGCAAAACTACTGGTGTCAGTTGTGACCCTTCAGAACTAAAGGGTGAACTTAAATAAATAAATATGAAATGTTTTTAAGTTGCTCTATCCTTCCAGAATGATCGTAACTCTGTGTGTGTGTGTGTGTGTGCGCGCGTGCCAATGTGAAAAATCTTGGCAAGAATGGCATTTATTTTTATATATGCTATTTTCCAATGGTCTAAAAAGGAATTGGTGAAAAAACAGAGAATTTTTGGAAAGAAAAAGTAGTCTAAAGGAATATTTCTGCCACCTTTTTTTTTCTCCCCCAGCAGAACACATAAACTTCAAAATTTACCCTGTCATACCCTCCAGGGTATGAGTGTCACCACACTCATTAATGACAATGTGTGCACGAAGGGATGTGCCTATACAAGGGCCTGGTGAAAAGAAAATGACAATAATAAGAAAAAAGAGACATATACATACAATTTTAGAGATGGCAGTCTTGTTTCTCCTTGGGACTCAGATTAGAAAAGGTTTCTCACCCATAGTCCAGGGGAGCCTCAAGCAGTTCCAGTTTCAGAGCTTAAAAGGAAGGATGCATTTTGATTTGAAGACAGGGCATAGAGAAGGCTCGAGAGTTTCAGAGTTACGTTGATGTGAGAGCCATGGCTGCATTCTGACCACCGACATGCCAGAAGCACTCGTTTCTTGGTAAGAACGTAGTTTCCAGTGTGCCTGATCCCAAAGCCCACAATGAATGGGACCTGTCACCTAACTTCTCCAAGCAAACAACCAAGCTACAAAGTGACAGTTCAAAAATCTAAATTATTCTATAGAATATGAGCATACATTGCTTTAGAGAGATCATAATAAACTACATATTGTCATTAGTTTCACAACTCAGGAGAAAAATTTTTTCACTTTGCCCCCTTTCCCCAAGCTCCTTAGTTGCTGCAAAAGAAATTCTGGTGAAGACTTCACAGACCCACGTTGTAAGTGAAACCTGCTTCCCCATCAACTCTCTAAGTTCCTGATCCATTTCATTTTGAAAGAGTGGTTGCTTTTTTGTTCTTTTTGTCATGCACTTGAATTCCTCTTTACATGGTCATATTTTTGGCTTCCCAGAAATAAGTCATGAAGAACAGAATTTAAGGCTGCGTTTTGGAAGCACAGAAACTCTGTGGACAGTGAGTACCAAAACCCAGAGGTACTCCTGGCACTAGACATTAAGAGCTGTAGCAAAACAAAAGAAATGATTTTTTCCACAAACTCATAAATGCAGATAGTATCATCCCCACATTTTCCAAGAACTGATTTCCAAGAATTCATGTGGGAAGGAAAGGAACATGAAAGGACTTAAACCAGTACTGGCCTGGGCCAATGCAAAGAAAATGACGGCAAGAGGGAAAGAGATATGTATACAGAGAACATCTGCTCATCCCCTTGAGGGAGGAAGGGACTTCAGAAGAAGACGAAAAAGAAGATGGGAGACAGATAAATGGAGTAGAGGAAGGAGTTGAAAAGAAAGAAAAAATAAGGCCACCAAAGGAAAACCTGGGTGGCTGCTCCCTTCCTGGCCCTGGCCCTGGCCCTGGCCCTGGCCCTGGCCCTGGCGCCTGCATCATACTGATGTCAGCAAGGCTCCCCCAGAGCTCATGTTAGTGGTCAAGCTGTGGGACAGCACTTCTGGGCTTTATTCACACATTACTTTCCTCCCGTAAGATTCACCAGAGTGATTTGTAGCAAACACATCCTCTATTAGCTCCTCCTTGTATTTCTTTTCTCTACTGGTCCTTTTTTCTTGTACATTCAATATTAGAAGTTGTACTGGTGTAATTATAATTAAGCTTTTGATTTAGGAAATATCACCGCAATTTCTGGGAGTCAAGGGACAGGAAAGCACAACAAGACAGGGAAATAGTTTAATTTGCAGGGAAGAATCATTGATTTAGCACACACTGTTTTGAGTGGTTTTGTAGGAATCTGAAATTAATTATATAGTAGGTACATTGATCTTGAGTTACAAAAAAGAAAGTTGGGGGAGGTAGTTGGGCAGCAGGGAGACTGTAGTTATTAGATAATGAACGTAGAGGGATATGCTTCAGGAGACGAGGTTTGAAGTGCCGTTTTGGTGGGGTGATGGGAAGACACCAACTATGATGGCTTATAGTGCCTCTTTGCCCTGATGAGCAGGTTTCATAGTCTTAGAAAGTGGAGATCAGTATGATGAAAAATTTCTTTAAGTTCATCAAGAAAGGGAATTCTCTTAGAACATTAATCATTTCATTTTTAAAGTCAATTTTGTGTGCAGTTGTACTTTTTAAGTATAGCAATACTTTGTGTAATAGGGGATTCCTGTAAAGCTGAGTGAAATCATACATTCAATAAACACAAGTGCCTACTCTCTGCCAGACACTTTCTTTACAAATCAAATTTGATTTCAAATTTACCCGAAACTTCACTGTTTAAGGAATCTTGTGTACTATTATAAAATAAGAATTCCCATTATAATGTGCATAATTCTAATATTTATAAATTTTTATTTTTTTGTATTTCATGGTCTGAAAGAGTAGTACATTGAAGTAAAACCTTAAAACTTGTAATTAAGGTTTTTAAAGGTTTAGCTACTTTATAAGCCATACATATATATGATTTATGGGAAAGTGGGAAAGTTTGTGAAACCTCATCATTTTAATCCCAGGAATTAAAAGCTTGGTACTCCAACAAGGTCAGACAGTTAATTTTGTATTCTCTATGAAGGGCGGGGGTAGTTTTAGCTATACCAGTGTTTCAGGGCAAACTCTTAACCTACAAAAGAGCAAACCCTCTTTAAGCACATTACAAGTACATTTGTAATACCAAAAATCAATGCCATATTTCCCAATGAAGCATGGGTATTCATTACAGTAGATCTTGGGTGACTTTGGCTTGGCCACACTTTATAAATTATTATTTATATTTCTATTTGTCCTTCAATAAAACTATATTTTAAACTTTTAAAGCTGCCATTTAAGTTACTAAGTAAAATGAGTGTCCCTCAGAATGAATCTAAAAATGATAAGAATGTGCTATATTGATGGGCTTCTATGCTCCAGCTATAGATGCAAGCAATATGAATATATATTTATAAGACTCAAAGGTTTTTTTCTCAGTTTCTCCGAAAGTTTTCTTTGCAGCTTCAAGCCAAGATTAGGTGACTTGTGTGTAAAGCAGTGAAGCAGTTCTAATAAGACAGCAATCTCTAACTAGGTAATTTTCAAGTGTCTACTCAACACAAACAACTGGAGAATATAGGGAAGGCTGGAGAAGTAAACTTCTTGACTGAGACATAAAGGCTGGCAGGATTGAGTGGACCATGGGACTGTTTACATGATCATCTGTAATGAATGTTGAATGAATTTTCATTCCGTCCAGGCATAATGCCATCTATTTGTTAAGCAAGTAGCAGAGGTCAAATCTGGGATCATGGTGGCTTGTATAATGGTAATTGTGGTTCCCAGGCCAGGTTTCTACTCCTAGTTCAACTCTGTGGAAATCTGAAAACATCTTGAACATTTCAAGATAATAAGAGAGCTGTCCAAATGGAGCTCGGCTCTAGACTTGGGCGTTTCTGTTGCCAGTTCTATTTCTGAGTGCATTGCCGTGTTTATGCTCTTCTTGGCTTTCCCGTCTTATTAACCAGCTCTCCTCCCAGGGACAGTGAAGTAGAGCAGAACAAAATGCTGGCTAGGGCTGCTCCGGCTTTTCTGAAGGGCAAAGGGTAAGTTAAAGCCAGAGTGTCCTGGAACTCTGAATTAACAAAACTAAAAATGGAGATTTCTTTTTTGTGTTTGGAAGACCATCTTTGATTTAGTAAAAGCAGCTCCATTATAACTCCATTAACAGCACCAAGTAGTTATTTTGAGTAGAAACATCTGCGTTGTTATTCACTTTCCCTGATTCCCTTTCCTTTTTCTTAAACTGACTAAGCTCCAGGTTTGAATTTCCAAAGGCTACTTAATCTTTGCTCGCAACGTGTTTACTGTGTGGTTGAATTTCTGGGCCTCAGCGGTTGGAAGAATGCGAATCTGTTTTCTTACAAGCTGCTTTACCTAAATGGAAGTCTGTATTTTTAAAGTTAGTGAAACGCAACTGTGAATTTTATTGCTTGGGTTTTGCTTGTTTTTCAAAGAACAGCACTTATTTTTCCTTTACTTGCTTGGTTTTCAAAATGCCTTTTTTGCCACAGAAGCAATCCTCCCTGCTCTGCTTGTTTCTGTCTGCCTCTCTCTCCTAACAGCGCCCTTTCTCTCCTCCTGCCCTGTTTCAGGATACAGTACAGCCTGAATGTGGCAGACAGGCTGGCTGATGAACATGTTCTCATCGGGTTGTATGTCAACATGCTCCGGAACAGCCCATCATGGTTAGTGCAGGTTTGGCTGCTTGACTGTCCTTAGAGAGGGGAACAGTCTCAGCTCTTGACAGGCAGTCTCAGCAAGGGGCAAAGTCACTGGATACCTGAGGTGTCACTAAAGCACTTTTTAACTGAGTCAATTAAAGTGTCTTTGTAATGTTCTTTCGGATATTGCCCATTACTGTGCCATAGAATTCACATCCCTGTTTATGTCGTAGCTGAGGGGATAGCTTGTGTAAATGGTGCCATGCTAAGTGTTAGCATCCAGGTGGATACAGGACTGTAGGGCCCACAGCCGGTTCTGTGTTACAAGTGCCCTGTCAAATTACCGCACAGCAGTGATGCAAGAATTTGTCTTGTTCCAAGGACATGTATGTCTCTGCTGATTTGGAGAACAGTGCTCCATTCACTTAAGACAGAAGTGAAAAAGAGGAAAAGTTATGGGATGGGATCAGACCCTGGAAATCATTTCCTTAATAATGACTGTCTCTCAACTTTTCTCTGACTTACAAATGTTTCTGGGTAGCCATTCTGATAAAACCTGCTTTCAAGTCCCAGACTGTGCAAAGCTTCCTTTCAGATGTGTAAAATGTGTGGATTCAGATAGCTCTATGTATTGGGATGAAGGCATTCTTAAAGTTCTTCTCTTTTTATTTTAATTGTGTATAAGAGATTGTTCCCATTGATGACTTTAAGAATAATTGTACATTTGCAATTTGAATGCTAATAAATGGACAGACTATATAAATATATATTTCAGGCTAGTTTAGACCACTACTTTACAAACATGTTTAGCAAACCATTTCCTTAGAAATATTTCAACTTTGCTTAAAAACTCTAATTTTCTCTGAACTAAGGGCCCATAGATTTTTTTTTTTAGTTATAGCTATCAAGGGAGCCAGTGGGTTAAACTGCCTTTAAAATAGCTGGTCCCCCTTATCTCTACTATGTTACAGGAAGCATACCTCAAACAGTGCTCATTGCCCTCACCACTCGGTATTATTAACCATTTCTTTGTTTCTAGAATATTCCCCCCTTGACTCCTTCCAAAGTTCTTTCCTATTCCTGCTTCTGATGCCTTAGAATTATTTTTTGCATGATTAGTACATGAGACAATTTCAGGTGATTCATTGAACATGTATTTAATGGGTACATATTTATCTTAATTTGTATTTTTTTAAATAAAACCAGCATACTAGTTTAATTTTACTCTTTTTGGAAATAAAAATAGACTGTCCTGCTTAAGCCCATCTTTTTGTTCAAATTTTTCCAAGCTTGTAATCAAACAGTTCCTCTTCTTTCTCACATCTCAGCCTCTCCAAACTACCAGAGGAAAGAGTGATTACTCTCATCTTATTCCCAGCAAGTTTGGCTCCACAGTGTCGTATGGTGGCTGAAACAATAAAACTAAAAATACTGAATTACAAAAGGAACAAAAATTGTATGAGTAATCTTTAAAGAAGAACACAGTCGATACAGATTTAATCATGTCTGAAGGCAGCGATGTGATCTCACACCGTGTCCTCTCCCCCATAATTCTAAGCGTACTCTGGTTATTTCTATCACTTTTCTTTGACCTTTTCTTAATTAAAGCTGGAACAGAGAAATCCCCAAAGAGGAAACTCAGAGTGCCTTGCTACCAGCCCTCTTCCCCCCTCAAGTGATTAATCACATTGACTTGATGGTCACGTAAGACCGTAAAACCGCCTCAGCAGAGACACCGCACAGCCACTCGATGAAAGCTGGGTGTGATTTGTATTTTGAAAACAAAGCAGAATTTAAGATTAATGGACGAAGCCGACTCCGTTTTAATGGCTCTCCCCCCAGAGGCCCCCCTCCCTGTATTTCTCATGACTTTCTTTCTGTCCTTAAAAAATTCCAGCTTATCTTGCAAATCTCTCATTTTTCCTTCTCTTTCCTTTCTGCTTAATGAGATCCTAACAATCTCCCACACCAGCCACGATTATATAAGTGATGTAGTTACCACTCTCCCCCTTTATCATCATTATAGCTATAATCTTTACGGTCATTCAACTATGGTGAGATATATAATGGTAGTAGTCAGAAGAGCTACTGTTTTTCTAAAGTACTTGCCTCATGCTAAGCACTGTATCAAAAGTTTTATTTATGCAATATTACATAAATCACATAATAACACAAATTACATGATACTACATAAATTATTTACATAACTTATAATTACATAAATATAAATTACCTAATTACTTGCATAATCTCCCCTAGTCCTTAAAGCAAGCCTATAGAGTAAATGCTATCATCCCCTTTTATAGATAAGTAAAGGTATTAATTATGAGGGTTATCTGTCTCCCCCAAAGTCACATGGCTACGAAACAGGGGAGCAGGGATTTTGATCTTTGGCCACTTCAGTCTGAGCTCATAACCACTAGGCTACATTGCCTCTTAGAAAACCTGTGTAAGCGTCTGCTTTCCTGGACACTTCTACACACTGCATCCCCCACATGTCTATTTCCGAAACTTGCATATCCCACTGTATTACTTTATTGTTATCTTAACAAATATTGTGAGCACATCCTAATAACAGGAATGGTGGTTGTTGATTAGGTTATGTATTTAGCTCTGTGCCTTGTGATTTCACATTTCGATTGTAAGCTTCAAAGGGTCTCATCACAGCAGCCTGAATATGGACAAATTTTACATGAAGCGCTTNAATTGTAAGCTTCAAAGGGACAAGAGTTTTGCCTTCCATCTCTTGGGTCTCATCACAGCAGCCTGAATATGGACAAATTTTACATGAAGCGCTTCAAAAATGGCACAGCCCTTCTCTACGTATTATTTAATTTGCTTGTCAAAGCCCTATACGTTTAGATATTATTATTTCCATTTCTCTGATAAGAAAATGTAAGCTCTGAGACATTAAGTGACTTATCCAGAGTAACACGCTACCAAGGGCTTGCACACGGGTCTTCTGACACCGGGTCCCATCTCTAGTCCAAGTTATTCCTCGGCCTCCCTGTCTCCCATCTTCCATAAGATGCTCTATAAGTGGGAACCTAAGAGCTGTTCTTGGTTAAAAGGTTAGCTTTCATAATTATTCATGTATGCTCCTGATTAATTCTGTGTGGGCACCTTTTACTTCATATTAACTGCTTAACACAATGAAAAACCGACTCATTTGTAAACAGTNGTGCATCTTCCATAAGATGCTCTATAAGTGGGAACCTAAGAGCTGTTCTTGGTTAAAAGGTTAGCTTTCATAATTATTCATGTATGCTCCTGATTAATTCTGTGTGGGCACCTTTTACTTCATATTAACTGCTTAACACAATGAAAAACCGACTCATTTGTAAACAGTCTGCTGCTAAATTAAAGATGCACTTACATGTCATAGTTGCTTCTGATGTCAGAGAAGCCAAGTAAATAGTCAGTAGCTCAAGGGGGAATTCTGCTGTCTTCCTAATTCAGTGAAATCGTAAAAGCATTAATGTTTTCAAGCACCTTCTCCAATGGGGGAGGAGAGGTTTCAAAATGCAATACAACGAGGGCTTTTACTGCCCTGCCCTAAAGCTTATCAAGTGCCGGGGCTTGCTGGTGGCTTATAAGGACTGACCGTCGCAAGCAGACCAAAGGATCGGAAACCAGCCTAGAACTCCAAAACCATAATTATATCCTTGACACTTACCATTCGAAAGCTTCTGGCATATTTCTCTCTAAAAAAGTCCCCTGTGTAAAAGAGGGAGGGGTACAACTAAAGGCTACGGTTTATACTTTGATGTCATGATCAATTGCNGGGGGGGTACAACTAAAGGCTACGGTTTATACTTTGATGTCATGATCAATTGCTGTCACTTAGTTAGGCCCCTGATCTCACATAACCAAGTTAAACTTTGTTTTGCTTATATGTTTTTTTCTCAAGTACAAGAAATTTTACATTTTATACCTGTTTCTAGGATTCATATATGAGGTCTAAATTTGTATTGGCTTGCCTTCTTGAAGCCTTTTAATAGATTCCTTTTGCACTTAGTTTTTGACCCAGACCCCTCACCATGGCCTAGAAGCCTGTGTGTGAACTAGCCCTGCCTACCCACCTCTCAGCCTCCGCTGTCATGGGGTTCTTCCACTCAATCACATTACTTAGTCACATGAGCTTCTGATCAGTTCCTAAAAACAATTCCTAAAACTGCCTCAAGGTCATGATACTAGTTCTTTCCGATGCCTAGAACATTTTTCCCCATTTTACCCCTGCCCTCTCCTTCCACACACATGCACTGGCTCCTACTCTGGCTTCCAGTCTCAGATTAAAGGCACCTCCTCAGGTGGATCTCCTATATTAGTCTCTATTATGGCATACTATTTATTTCATTCTTATCATAACTGCAACCATTGGTTGGTTGGTTGGTTGGTTGATTTACTATCTGTCTTCCCCTTTATGGTGCAGGGACCCTGTCTGACTTGCTCACCACCATATCTCTGACATTTTGCACAGTGCCTGGCACATAGTAGGTGCCCAATAAATATCTGTCAATGCTGTAGAATATCGATAGTGCTAGAAGTATAAAATTCCCTCTCACACTAAGCAAAATTGTTAGGAGTCCTCAGAAAATATTTTTTACTAGTAAAACAAATCTTTTTACTATTTAAAATATCACCAATTATAAATTAGCCCTTAAATCAAACTTTTAGTGTATGAGTATAAAGTAAATGAAAAAGTAAAGTATTAAGCTTGATGTAGAGAGAGGTGGTGAACATGGGTAAAGACAAGCACCAGTAATTCACTGATGTGAGAAAAGCATGGGCACATTTTTAAAAAGTGAAAGTGATATTGGGCAAAAATTAAAACTTTTTAAAAAAATTTTTTTTAAAAAATTAAAAACTTTTTTTTCATACTTTCTGGTCTCTTTCATTTTGTATTAGTTTGCTAGAACTACTGTAAAAAAATACCACCACTTGCGTGGCTTGAACAACAGAAATTTATTTTCTCACAGTTCTGGAGGCTAGAAGTCCAAGACCAAGGTGCTGGCAGGGTTGAT